AGTGTGTTAATCTCCTTCTGATTCAAGCAGCTTTGCACTTTGTTTTTTGGAAAAAAACACCACTTCTATAAAAACACACAAGAAACAAACTCAAGTTTCAATTTAGTCACGAGCTAGCTACAGGACTCTGTTGCACACAAACTCCTGTCATGGGGGACTCTTCTCTATCAGCCCCTTGCCTCATTGTCAGATGTCCTTCAGTCATGTAATGTGCAGGACCTGTATTAGCAGAAAATTGGTATGTTGGATGTCCAGCTATGCCAGTCTCTTGGCGGGGATTGGAGTAGACGGTTAAATTAACGTCCATAGCTCCATTCTGTCCAAAGTCCAAGGTGTTAGCAGCCACTGGGCGATTCTGGTAGGCCTGATTGCCTTGATTACCAGTAGAGGAGGAAGATGTAGAGGAAGAAGTAGTAGAGGAAGACAGGGATGTCATGGAGTGGTGACTATGGCCAACCTCCATAGAATCCTGGGTAGAGGAGCTATTCGTTGGAGAATTGTAGACCCTTGGCCTGGTCCGGTTACCCAAGGCTTGTTGTCCGTGGTGGTGGTGGTGGTGGTGATGGTGGTGGTGATGATGGGAACTGTTTCCATGGTGATGATGCAATGCGTTCTGTTGAGGGGCTACATGAAAGGTTGTTTCTTGAACAGGATGAGTTTCAACAGTAACCTGTGTAGGAGCTTCAGTGCCTGACCAACCAAGGGGAGCAGGAAACTGCTGGCGCACCTGTAAGAACAGATTTTAAAAGGATTTATTCAGAGTGCTGTTTCCAAGTTGTAATCTTCAATCAAAACCTATGACACTAGAATTTACGTCAGAGAGTTTGAAAAGTAAGATGTGTTGAACAGTTCTTTAATGCAAAATTCCAAATATGTTCAAGAATGAAAAATATTTTATTACGAAAGCTACAATTTTTAACAAGTTATACCCATAACCAGGCTCAGATGTGTCACAGGGCACTTTCTTTCCTCAGAAGCACAGTTTATGCCAGGGGTCAGCAAGCTTTTTCTGGAAAGGGACGGCTAGTAATTGACAGGTCCAAAAGGAATTCTTCACTTTCTCCCTAAAGCCCCTCCTCTCTCCATCTTTCTTGTTTCAATAAAATCACTATTATCCATCCAGCTGCTCAACTCCATCCAAATCATCAGCAAGTACCACTGAAGCTACCTTCAAATAAGAGCCCAAACCTAGCGACTTTTTCTCCATCTCCACCACCAACACTCTATCCCAGGCCCCCATCATCTCTTGCCTAGATTAATACAACAGCCTCCTAAACCAGCTCCCAGCTTCCATTCTTGCCTTTTTCCAATCTACTCTCCAAAGTCACAAGAATAATCTTCTTAAAAACACAAATCTAAATTAGGCAAAAAATAAAAATAAAAGGCATCCAAATTGGAAGGCAAGGGTAAAATTGTCATTATTTGCAAATGACACACATAGGAAACCCTAACAATTTCAACAAAAACAGAACAAATTCAATAATGTTGCAGGATACAAAATCAATACACAAAAACCTGTTACATTTCTATACACTAATAATGAACTATCAGAGAATTAAAGAAAACAATCCCATTTACAACTGCGTCAAAAATAAAATATCTAGAAATAATTTTAACCAAGGAGGTGAAAAACCTGAATGTTGAAAACTATAAATCACTAATTAAAGAAATCGAAGAAGACACAAACAAATGGAAAGTTACTCTGTGTAAATGAATCAGAAGAATCAATATTGTTAAAATGTCAATACTACCCAAAGCAATCTAGATTCAGTGAAATCCCTATCAAAATTTCAATGGCATTTTTCAAAGAAATGGAAACAAGTAATCCTAAAATTTTTATGGAACCACAAAAGAACCCAAATAGCCAAAGCAATCTTGAATAAGAACAACAAAGCTGGAGGCATCAAACTCCTTGACTTCAAACTACATTACAAAGCTATAATAATTAAAAGAGTATGGTACTGACATAAAAAGACTCATAGATCAAAGGAACAGAACAGAGAGCCCAGAAATAAACCCATGCACACATGGTCAATTAATTTATGAGAAAGGAACCAAAGATATGTGATGGGGAGAGGACAATTTCTTCAATAAATGGTGTTGGGAAAACTGGACAGCCACAAACAAAAGAACAAACTTCTACCACTATCTTATACCATACACAAAAATTAATTCAAAATGGATTAAAGACTTAAACAAAGGACCTGAAATCACAAAACTCCTAAAAGAAAACACAGGTGGTACATCTTGGTGATGAGATTTTTTTAATCTGACACCAAAAGTAAAAGCAACAAAAGCAAAACTAAACAAGTGCGAGTACATCAAACTAAAAAGGTTCTGCACACCAGAAATCATCAACAAAATGAAAAAGGCAACCTACTGAATGGGAAGAAACATTTACACATCATATACTGTGTGAGGGGTGAATTTCCAAAATATATAAAGAACTCATACAACTCAATAGCGAAAAACAAAACACAACAAAAAACTCCACACAACAATCCAATGAAAAAATGGGCAAAGGCTGTAAATTGACATTTTTTTCAAAGAAGACATACAGATGACCAACAGGAACATGAAAAGATGATCAATATCATGAATTATCATGAAACACAAACCAAAACCACAATGAGATATCCCCTCACACCTGTTAGAATGTCCATTATAAAAAACAAACAAAAAAAACAAACAAGCATTGATAAGGATGTGGAGAAATAAGAAACCTTCATGCACTGTTGGTGGGAATGTAAATTAGTACAGTCACTATGAAAACCAAACGGAGATTCCTCAAAACATTAAAAGAGAACTACTATATGATCCAACAATTCCACTTGTGAATATTTAGCCAAAGAAAATGAAAACATTAACTCAAAAAGATCTATGTACTCCCATGTTCACTACAGCATTATTTACAAAAACGAAGATACGTAAACAACCTAGGTGTTCATTAATGGACGAATGGATATAGAAACTGCGGTCCACGTATACACAGTGGAATATAAAAAAAATGAAGTCTTGTCATTTGTGATAACATGGACAGACCTCAGGGGCATTATGCCAAGTGAAATGAGTCAGGCAGAGAAAGATAAATACTGTATGATCTTTCTTGTATATGGAATTTTTAAAAAAAGACAACCAAACAACAACAAAATAATCCAAACTCCATACAATGATCTGCACGACCCGGTCAACACTCACGTCTCCAACCAGTCCCAACAGCCACCCTTCCTCCCTCTCCTAGCCACAGGGCCTTTCTTCTATTCCTCTATCTGGTCACGGTATTTCAAACGCCTCACGGCACTCATACTTACTGTCCCCTTCTGCTCAGAATGCTCTGAGTTCTAACTTCTGCTTGGATGCTTCTCTCCCATCGATTCAGCTCCAGAGTCATCCCTGACCACTTATTCTCCCTGAGTACACGGCTAGACCACACTTCCCTATACTTACGTAGGAACATGTGAGTCAGTTTTAGTCAATGAAATATGAATGAAAGTTTCTAGGTCATGGCCAAACCTGCCCACAAAATACCTCTGCCGGATGCCGCAAACAACTAGGCCTAGGGGATGGAGGAGCCACAAGATAGTAGGAGCTTGGACATGGGAGAGAAGCCATGCCACTAATTTGAATACCCACTCTGGACTATTACATTAAAAAACAAACCAAAAAAACACCACCATTCTCTTTAAGCTACCATATTTTGGGGATCTACCTATTATCAGTTTGGCCTACTTGAATTAATACATCCCAAATAGCCATTCTCTATTGCATTATCTCATCTTGTTTTCTTTGTAACTGTTAATGGTACTTGTAATTTTCTATTCATTTGATTAATTATTTACTATATCACTTTAAACTCTAGGAAAAGCAAAGCCACATCACCGGTGGCTAGCACAGATCATTAAATATTTACTCAACCATGGGGATCTGAGAACGAAAATTCAAAAAATACTATTGAAAACAATCCAGTAGAAAAACAGGCCGTAGGTTCTCAGAAAATAACCAACGGTTCTTAAACTACGAAGCTACTCAAATTCACGCATAAAAAGAAATAAGCAAAATAAAACTATACTCTGTCCAATACGACTTTTCATTTCAGATTCATCCAAAGGCTATCACACTGACTGCTTCGCCAAACTGTTAGTGGGGAAATGAATCTGATAAATGTATATGGAGGGCAATTTGGCAAAAGCTATCAAAATTACAAATCACATTACCCTCTGACCCAGCAATTTTATGTGCAGGGGTTCCTATCACAGATAAACTGCACGTGTATGGGATGACATATGCACAGAGTATGGTGTTTATCACAGCACCATTTGTAGTAGTAGAGACTGAAAATAAACCTAATGTCCATTAATAGGGGACTATGGAAATGACGTATTGAATATTTGAACAATGGAATACTGTGTGGCTGTTAAAAAAAAAAGAAAAGAAAGAAAAAACAGCTATCTATGTACTGATATAAAAATACTTCCAAAATATACACTAAATAAATATGCAAAACATGTAAAACAGTGGTTAGGTGAAAATACATACATACATACATACATACATACACACTTACATACGCACAAAATATCTCAAAAATACAAAAAACTAATCATTAGAAATTAGGTGTCTAAGGGACATAAAAGGGAAGACCACTGAATTCCCTTTTATATGTACTTATTTTTTAACCATGTGAATATATCAACTACTCAAAACTTATATACAAAAGGATTGAGGCAAATAAGAGAAAACGTCAACTTCCGGTGGGCGATACAGAGTCTCCTATTACTCTCGCTAAGTTTTTAAGTGTTCGCAGTATTCACTGCACTTGGAGGGGCAGGCTGGCCTTAAGAAGCGGGGAAAGCCTCTGGCAGTGGGATCTGTTAGGAGACGAAGTATAAACAGCAGCCACGAAAGCGAAGAGGGAGGACAGCGCTCCAGGCTGAGCGAGGTAAGTGTGAGGGATGTGAGAGAGAACACGGGACATTCAGAAAATGAAAACGGATCCCGTAAGACCAGAGAGACGGAGAGGAGGAAAGACGGCCTGTGCAGGAGCGGACGGTCATGGAAACCAGCGCGACCTTCCCAACAAGCCTAACGTGTTAAAGTGTAAGAGAAGCCGAAGACTGGTTTAGAGTAGGGGAACCAGCCGGGTCGGGCTGCCTCACAGATGAGTGGCCTTGGCTTCGGAGACAAGGACGACGCTGACGGGAATAAAGCCGGCACTGCAGACCGGTCGGGTCTTCCGTGGTGACACGGGCCAGCGGACAGCACAAATGTATTCTGGATCTTCAGAGTCCACACAATTTACTATATGATTCAGTGTGAGGGATGAGGAAGAGGGGGTCAGGACTGACTCCCTCCCCTCCAAGTGTGTGACTCGAGCAAATGGGTAAATTTAGGGCCATGTGTACAAAGAATAAATAAAAGTAGAAGCTGTGAGGGGGGTGAAAATGATGACACTGGTTTATGTGATGCTTCTGCAACGTCATGGTGTGGAGACGTCCAAAGTGACATTTAGAAGAACCGACTGGAAACAAAGGCCCTGGGGCGCGGGAGGGACAGGTGTGTCAGAATGAAGGTGCGCGGCAGGATGGTGAGCACGCGCATGCGCTCAGCCGGGCAGTGTGTCGGGTGAGAGAAAGGCCTCCAAGAAACAAGGGGAGCGACAGCAGCACGCGTGCGGGCGTGCAGGCTGCACACCGCGCTCGAGGCGGCCACGTCTGAAGACTCCTCCACACAACAAGGAGCGAAAGAGAGAAGAGGAGGTCAAAAGTGTCCAAGAAAAGTTTGAAACAATTATTAGAGAACGGGAGAGATGACTTGAGAAGCATGTACGATCGCCCAGTGGAGGTCGGTGAAGACTCATTAACAGCAGGAACAGAGTATGCGTGTGATCTTCCCCAGTGTCATTCAGGAGTCCCCATCACAGGAATGTGGAGTGACAGTCCACAACTTCAGTTTTTCTTCACTCAAATAACACAGTGGCCTCTTATTATAAAGTACCATAAAGGCAATGTTCAGTATGAATTAATTTAGTATTTTACAAAGTGAGTATAATGTATAATGCTACCACCACTATCTGCTTCACCCAATTTTTAAAAATTACTTAATTAGAGCATCATCTTTAACAGATTTAAAAAACTAACACACCCCCACAACAATGTAAAAACAATGTAGAGGTTAAAATCAAACCACAAACTGATTCAGAATCTAGGACTATCAGTGTTGAAGGATCATGGGTGACAGGAGAGCACAGTAATTAAGATCGTAACCCAAGGAAAGTCACTTAACCCATGACCTCTCGGTTCCCAAGGCAAAATGACAATCTGAACAGTGTTAAGCTCGAAATGTTGCTGCAGTAAATGCAATAAACACGGGAGCAATGGCTGGTATGCATCCAATCAATGTCAGCTTTCTCTAAACAAGAAGGGTGAAAATTGCAGGTATGTGCTTCTTAAGTTATAAATTATAATTCCTTATAAATGAGGAAGCTATGAGCCTTTAGAGTAAATGACTTAACCGCACTAAAGGCACGTGGAACCCGATTCAGCTGCCTGAGCAGGGCAGGGGATGCATGAAGGCTTACCTGGGGACTGTGCGTCTCACAGTCCATGGCCTGGACGGCAGCCGTGAAGTGCCCGCCGCTGTGCCGATGCTGGTGCGTGGGATCCGACCGGGCTCGCCCGCTGTTGCTCGTCCCCGACGATCCACCTTAAGCACCACAACGCAAAACAACGTGTGACTTTAAAGTTAATTCTGCCCAAGTTTATGTTCTACATCTGTAACATTAAAACTGAAAGTGTATCACGTGCAAAAAAAACTACATTAACAGAAAGGCACCTGAATTCTTTCACATCGACCACTGAGGCAAAATCCAATCAAGTTTGGGAAAACTGAAGATGTGGACAAAGTTTTTCCATTTAAAAAACAATTAAAATTTTTGGTTAATGAAGAGTTGTTTCCAGCTACCAGGCATAATTAAGTATTGATGCTTCAGGGGAAGGTGAACTTTTTCCTGACTACAAAGAATAGACTAGGTCAAATAATTCCTCCTCACCCCAGTAACAAGTTCCTAAAAAACACTTTAAAATAACCCCCACTTTGCAAAGGAAAGAGCGAACATTTTGAGAGCCTAATCTAATAGCAAGAGGACACACCTGAGCTTGAAGATGTACTAGAGGTGGTGCCTGAAGACTGGGACTGCTCCATCGCAGGGCTCGTGGATACACTATTACTTGTATTTGTACCTTCATCGGCTGTTTTCTTGAAAAAACTGTGCTGCAGGGCATAGTAAGGTTGAATTCGAGTTTTGGGGTCATAATCAAGCATCCTTAAAATGAGGTCTTTGAACTTCAAGTAGTCAGCTACCGTATGACCCGACTCCCCAGCACGACGCCCACCAGGTCCTCCTGTTTCCACTCCAAGAATATTATGAAGTTTACGGGTTCCTGGTGGTTTATATTCCTAAAGAGAAGAAAGATAAAAAGCTTTCTCTAAATTTGATGGGATATATATAAATCTACATAACTTAAAATATGCTGAAATATATTACATGTTGAGAGATTAAAGAATGCATTACAGTTAGATCCTCTAATACATTTTCAAACGTTACTGTTCCAAGTACAAAAGAATCTTGAGACCAAAAATGACTGTAGAGACCACCAAGCCCTGGGGTCACGACCCGGCCCAGGGCCTGTTTGTGTACAGCCTCAGCCACGAAGAGTTTTTATAATTTTAAAGGTTGTAAAAACAAACAGAACCAAGTAAGAACACACGACAGAAGCTCACAAAGCCTAAATCTTCATTTTCTGGTCCTTTATAAGGGATGTGCCAACCTCTCGTCCTGCCTAGTGGTTCTGAGTCTCTTTTCTGCCTGATGCACCTGAGAACCTGGCTGCACTTCCTTCCGGCAGTGACAGTGCTCACTGAAGCTGTGCTGATCGCTCCGAGTACGTTCCCAGGAAAGAAGTATGGTCTAATCCTACCTGCTTATGTTTAGATAAAGAAATTACAAGCAAATTTTGTTTATGCCTCTCTTTAGAAAATGTTTAATAATAAATCACCTTAACGCGTGTTGAGATTTTCTGAAAACTCATTTTTTAATAGATATTATAACCCTTAAAGTGCCTATAAATACTAAATTAATTCAGAATAGCATTACTGGGTTTTTGCTTCTAGTTACAATGTCGAAATTTAGGAAAGACCATTGTTCTCACTCTAAAAAGCAAGAATAAGCCTGCCAGGCAAGTCACAAAAATCATCGCTTTTTAAAAAACCCATCACAGAGCTGATGATTAAAGAAATCAGAATTATGGAAATTCTAGAAAATGAAAAGCCTTTCCTTCTTAAGGCAGGAGAAGGAGCAAAGGTCATTGATATGGGTAGGGAGAATCTAGTTCCAACTCTGAACCAGCTTCTAACAGCTACCTGTGGACAGGCTGGAGGATGGAGAGAGGCAGAGGAGCCCAGATAGGATCCTCCGGGCACTGCAGTCTGGAGGCAGAGCAGCAGAATGAACACAGATTGCCTGGGGCACAGTGGGGGCAGGAATGGGCTTCTGGCTGGACAGAAATCTGCCCATTCACAACCTTCCCAGTTTCTACAAACACTGCTTAATATCTATGAAGATGGTGGAGAATAAAATTTAAGTCAAGCAAATAAACAAAACAAATAAACAAAGCCCAGATTCAGCTAAACTACAAACAAGATTGAATCAGTCCCTCATTAGTGGCCTGACAGAATAAGAAGCATGCCTAAGATTTTCTTCTACCTGAACTGTTCTCAAATATAGAGAGTCTGGCATACATTTTTATAAACACAAACAACAACAAAAATGGGTCCATAATGAAGTAAAAATAAATAAATAGATAGATAGATAGATAGATAGATAGATAGATAGATAGATAGATAGATAGATAGAAGACCCACATAAATAAATGACCTAGATGTTGAAACTGGCAGACAGGCATTTTAAAATAAGTGTGATAAATAGGTTAAATCATTTAATTCAAAAGGTAGATAGCATATGTGAATAGATTGGGGGATTTCGGAAGAGAAAATTAAAGCTATTTGTAAAAAATGATAAATGAAAATGTAGAAATGCTGGAACAAAAAAAAATCCAGTATCAGAAATGAAGAATCCATTTAATAGATGACTGGACTTGGCAGAAGAAAAAAAATCCATGAACTAAAGACAGAGCAAAGAAGTTATCCAACCTAAGATACAAAAGAAAACAGAATAAACCAGATACCTTTAATATTAAGCACTATAATATACATGTATTTGGGGAATTAGAAGAAAGACAAGAACAAATACTTGGGGAAAAACAAGTCCGATGACTTTAAAAAATTAATGAAAGAGATCAACCTACAGATCCAAGAAAACTTACCTAACTCCAAGGAAAATACAAAAGAATATATACCTAGAATCATATAACCAAGTACTGGAAAATCAAACATAAAAACATGAAATCAGCCATTAGGAAAGAGAAGAAACATTGTAGACAGGAAACAAAGCTTAGAAAAACCACCGACTTCTCTTCAGAAACAGTGTGACAGTAAAATCAATGTCATTAAGGTTCCTAAACAATGCCATAACATCTTTTTTCTTTTGCTGAAATGTCAACGTAGTATGCTATATCCACGGGAATTTCCATATCCATAGAAAATATCTTCCTCAAAATGAAAGTGAATAAAGGTCTTCAGATAAATGACTGTTGAGAGAATTGATCAAACAGAAGTTTTTCACTATAAAATAAAACATTGAAGTTCTTCAGAATGAAGGAACATAATACCACATAGAAGCCAAGAATTGCAGAAAAGAATAAATAACTATGTGGGCAATTAGAAAAGATCTTGTTATTAGCTTAATTTTTATGTGTTTTAAAATCTCTTTTAAAAAAGTCCTCTTTTATTTAAGTAGTTGATGATGTGCTGTGAAGGGTATAACACAAGTGAATGATATATGATGGCAAGTATACAAGAGATGGAAGGGGTTAGTAAACGCACATGGTTATTACATGGTTTATCAAGTGATATGTGAAGGTCAAATCATAAGTTAAAGGTGCATATAATAAAAGCAATACTAAAAATTACACACAAAGAAGTAACTAAAAAGTCAATAGAGAAGATGAAATGAAATATCTGAAAGTACTCAATTAACGCAAGAAGGCAGGAAAGAAGGAGAACAAAGAAGAGATAAGACAAATAAAACACGACTAAGACAGTCTAAAACCCAAACCTCTGAATAATTTAATGGACTAAATACTCGTTGTGAAAGAAAAATACTATTAGGCTAGATTAAAAAGCATGACAACTGCATGTTGTATACAAAAGCCATGCTTTATAATACATAAAAATATGGACAGGCTTAAAGTAAAAGGATAGAAAAATATATCCTGAGAAAATTTTAAGAATAAGAAAGCTGGTAGAGAGAACTACAGTAATATTGGACAAAGCAGACTTAAAGACAAAAATATTATTAGAGATAAAGAGGGACATTTCATGATGATGAAAGAGTGAATCTATCACAAAGTGTTACTAATACTAAATGAGTAAGCATCTATTAAGAGAGCTTCAAAAAAAGCAACTAAAGGGGGATTAAGACAAATCCAAAATTGTCACTGAAAATTAGCATTCTTCTGTTATTGAAAAAAATAAATGTAAATTGATAGACACACATACACACACACACAGTTAAGGACATAAAGGATGTGAAGAAAAGTATCAAACAACCAGACATATTGACATTTGTAGACTACTACACCAAATAATTATAAAACACAATTCTCTTCAAATGCACATGGAACATTCACCAAGACAGATTACAAGTCTCAAATTTTAAAGGTGTGAAATCATATTTTCGAACACGATGCTACTGAATTAGAAATCAGTAGCATTAAGATATTTAGAAAATCCTCGAATACTTTGAAATTAAAAACAACATTCTAAATAACAATGAGTCAATAAAGAAATCACAGGGAAATTAGAAACGTTTCAAAATGATAGTTAAAACATATCGACAGGACTCAAGATGGCACCGAAGGTGGTGGATGTGCACGCCTCCTCTGGCAACCACGCCAAAATTTTAGCAAAACTACAGAGCACCCAGTGTACAGAGTCACCAGAAGTATGGCTGAACAGAAGCCCTACTACTAGGTCACCTCAAAAAGGTAGGAGGAATGGAGCCATGAATCGACCCAGTTGGCAATCGAGAATCAGAAGGGCCATCTCTGGCTGCAGAGCCACGCCCCCACCAGAGGAGTGAGGGGGTCCAGCACACTGGGATCCCCAGCCCAGGGTTCCAGTGCCTTGAGGCACCTGTAAGCCCAGTGTGGGTGGCAGCCATATGTTTGAGGGGCGAGGGAGAGAAAGTGAAAAAGGGGGAAAGGATTAAGAAGTATGAACTGGTAGTTAGTTACAAATTGATAGTCATAGAGATGGAAAGTATAGCACAAGGAATATAGCCAATAATACTGTTCATAACTATGTATGGTGTCAGAGGGGCACTAGAGTTATTACGGTGATCACTTTGTGAGTTACATAGATGTCTAACCACTATGCTGTACACCTGAAACTAATATAGTATTATGTACCAACTATAACTGAAAAATAAAAAATTATTATCAATTAAAAAACATATCAAAAGTTGCAAGATGCAGCTAAAGCAGTGCTTATAGGGGTATTTATACTACTCAGTGCAATAAGAGAAGGAAGTTTTAAATAAATGATCTAAGCTTCCACCTTCAGAAGCTTCCAACTAGTTAGAAGGAAACAATAAAGAGCAAAAATCACTGAAATGAAATCTAGACTAAGAATAGGGGGAAAAAAAAAAGATCGACAAAACCAGAAGCTGGTTGTTTGAAAGAATAATTTTAATAGACCCCTACCAAAA